TCAAAGCGCTTCACAGGATAAACTGTAAAGTGAAGTGACTGTGTGCTTTGCAGACAACAGTGTCCCACAAACATTCGTGAAGAGAATACACAATTGAGCAGTGAATTGTCAGCCGAGCACCGGGAGAGAGGAACTTCCTTCTCCTTTTCCAACAACGCCACAGATTATTAACATCCACCTGAACAGGGCACAGCTGGGCAGTGAGGTTTAACGTCTCATCCAAAGTACAGCAGCCAAGATAATGCAGAGCTCCCTCCAGCCTGGACTCCGTGCGAAATGCCAACATGGGGCTTGAACCCACAACCTTGTTCCCAACTGAACGAAGCTGACACCCCACTTCCTGTCCTCCGCTAACAAGCCAAACGATGGCTTCTCCGCTGTCTCTCAGTGACACGGCCTCTGATACACCTGCGTCAGATCAGGGTGATTTACGTCGCAGTAAACCAGCACAAAAGTGTGTTCTCGAGAGCAGACGGCAAACGTCATCTTAAAATGTTTTTCCAGCACAATTGCGTTTCCATCTGCTCCTTTCCATGTCCCGTTCCACCACATTCCAGGGAGCGAGTGAGAGCGAGCGAGCGCGCTTTCACTCGGAGTAAAGTTGTTATTTTCAGGATGAGAGTTACGCTAAATCACAGCTGAGAGCCCCTGATTATCCTCACTGAGCCACGCAGGTACAGCCCGAACAGCGGGTAATAATAGAGCAACGAGGTTACAGAAACTATGTCACAGATTCAGCTTGTAATTGTTTTCGCTATTTGTTTCACTGTTTATTTGAAGCTGTAGCTCAGCTTCCTACCATCGCTGCTGCAAGCAGAAGCCAATGTAGATTTACAAAGAGAATTAGCTGAGTATTTCACAAGGAAAATGTAAGGGAGCAGACAGCTGCTTCAGAGCACGAATAATATTAATAAGAATCCTCGCATTTGATAAGCGGCTTTTCACGTCATTAAGACTTCTCAAAGCGCTTCGCAGAATATACGGTAAAGCGTAGCGACTGTGTATTTTATGGGTGAAAAACAGCAGCCAATTGCGCACAGCAGCGTCCCCACAAACAGTCGTGGATCGGGTGATCTGGGTTGTTTGGATGTGGGGGAGCATTTAAAACGGGAATTTTCTCAGGTTTCCCTGAGGTTTCAGAAGGAAAAGGAAAAGTTGACCTTGAACTCGCCCGCTGTTTACACACAAACCAACACGCGTTTGCAGATACAGCAAACAAATGCATCAAACACAAGCTATAAATAAGGAAATAAGAGAGAAACAATAAATAACAGGAGTATAGAAAAAGTTGCAGGGCAAAACATTGTCACTGAGACAGTGTGACTGTGAGGAGCTCTGAGACGTGCGAGGGATATAACTGTTTATATCCTGATATAACTGGATTTCCCTGTTTATAATAATAATCCTTCCATTTGATTTCACGCCACCTGCCTGCTCGCCCCTCTCAGTGGGCTCCAGCCTGTTCCATGTCCCCCGCCCCACCATTGGTGGACAGGCCTTTAGCCACTCTGCCCTCACCCTCTGGAACTCCATCCCATGGTCCCTCTGCCTCGCCCCCTCCCTCGCCTCCTTCAAGACCCGTCTCAAGACCCTTCTATTCAACCGTGCCTTCAGGCACCCTCCGCCCGCGCCCCCCTCCCTCCCCAATCCCAACCCCCAGCTCAGCTCACTAACCACCTGGCTTCCTGGGCTTCAGGTGGCACTGTGCCCCTGATCACTGCCCGCAGTGATCTCTCCTCTCCAGCGAACCTAGAGAGCAGGGGCTCACTGTACACTTTGCCAGCCACAGCCAGCACTGCCCACTGGCTCCCTCTGTAAGACATGACTGGGTGCACAGTCATGTTAATGATGTCAGAGTGATTTCTGAAAATTGCTTTAAAAAAAGGCCACAAAACAAAACGCCCAGGTGGGGTGGGGTGATAATGACATGGGGTCCAGCGACTGGCATTGGGGGGGTACTGGTGTCCGCCCGCTGGAACAGCATCCTCAGGAATGAGGGAGTGTTGGAGCCGGAGGAACAAAGGCTGGAGCTGGGCAGCAGTGTTACAGTTAGTGTGAGGCTGTGGCTTTGAGAACAGAAATGTGCAGAACGTGTCTGAACGGTGAAGGAATGTCTGAAATCGCCAGCCTCGATCTGTCTGATAAGAGAGACAGACAGACAGAGAGCGAGGAGGACAGCAGCCCTGATTCCCCAGTCCAGGCTGTGGGCAAACCCTCACACACACAATCATCATGAGAAAGCTGGGCCTGCGGGAGGCTGACAGCCAGACCACACCAACATTCCTCCTCACATTCCCTTCAGCTCATTCACACATTCCCTTTTGGACATTAACTGGCAGTGTTGGCAGTGGCCCCCTGGTGCAGTTGGTTGGCAGTGGCCCCCTGGCGCAGTTGGTTGGCAGTGGCCCCCTGGCGCAGTTGGCTGGCAGTAGGCCCCTGGCGCAGTTGGCTGGCAGTGGCCCCCTGGCGCAGTTGGCTGGCTGTAGGCCCCTGGTGTAGTTGGTTGGCAGTGGGCTCTTGGTGTAGTTGGTTGGCAGTGGGCTCTTGGTGTAGTTGGTTGGCAGTGGGCTCTTGGTGTAGTTGGTTGGCAGTGGGCCCCTGGCGTGGTTGGTTGGCAGTGGGCCCCTGGCGCGGTTGGTTGGCAGTGGGCCCCTGGCCCGGTTGCTGTCCAGACAGCCTGAGATGGAGTGTGAGGATGTGCGAGGGCAGGTGAGTGGCTGAGAGATCAGGTCCCAGACTGACCTTCGCTGTATCACGACGGCCAAACAAACAAATGACCTCAGTAGCTCAGAGCTTCAGTCAGCCGGAGGGGGGTGTTGCTGCTGATCTGCTGTATGATTCTGTGCCTGAGGCACTTTGTTACAAACAGGACTATCAGACATTTCACACAGAGGATAGTAACCGATCTGTATCTCACGGCTTCCTCCAGCCTTGGTACCAGCACTGCCCCCACGCAGCAGACACACGCAAGCAGGCACATGCACAGACACACACGCATGCACACACGCACGCACGCACACACATCTCATGGTTGCTGTTGACGACAATCGTCATTGCAGTTTTTCTGCTGTTCTTACAAAAAAAAATACAATTTCACAACTAAGGCTGAATTGAGGAATTTTCCACATCTTAAGCTTTTATAGACAAAATGCCTCACAGACTGAGACCAGGCGGAATTCTGTGGCTCTGAAGCTTCAGCTGAATAATGAGAATAATGTGCAGGGCTCTGGGTAAGAATGGGGGAGTGGGGACCAGTTGGGGTGAGAGTGGGACTAGTTGGGGTAAGAATGGGGGAGTGGGACTAGTTGGGGTAAGAGTGGGGAGTGGGGAATAGTTGGGGTGAGAGTGGGGGAGTGGGACTGGTTGGGGTAAGAGTGGGGAGTGGGGACCAGTTGGCAGCTCTTTCAAAGAGCCGGCACAGGCACAATGGGCTGAATGGCCTCCTTCTGTGCTGTAAGATTCTATGATCCGAACACACGTCAAACGGCAGTGATTTCTCACAATAACCTGCGCACTCCCTGACTCACTGTTTGCTCAATCCTGATCCAACTCACATCAGCACGTGGCTCCACTCGGCCACACGCATACATTCCTGTCTCTGGGATCAAAGCCATTGCTTATTCAGCGAAAGAGAGCGCGCGGGAGACAAAGGGCTGAGAGATAATCACTGGAGAAATGCAGAGTGGACACACACACACACAATACACGCCCCACCCACCCACACACACCCACACTCTGAAGCTTACAGCTGATTATCCAGGTCCCCTTTGAACAATTCTGTTGTTGGCTCAGCTGACACTCACGATGATGCACAACACCAACAACATGAACTGAATTCGGTGCCTGAAGATTTCTGACTCTGATCCGAGTGTCTCCTGAAGTCTCTCCACACTCCCCGCTCAGCACTGGGTCTATGCAGAGTAACAGCCAATCATCGGGGCTCGTTAGCTCAGTAATTAATGGTTTAACTTCACAAGATCAGCCTCAGGATCAGGAGGAATGTCCTTAAATCAGTCTGACCTCATCCCCTCCAGAAACAACCGCCCACCCCCCCACCCAACATCCCTTCCCCCACCACACACAAAACACACAGTCACTGCACTGACAGTAATCACCGTGGAGGGTTTGAGCCATTGACGATACAATAAAACACGATACAGATATGTTTTTTTGGGGCCTTTCTCGCTCTCTTTCTCTGAAGTACTGAAGCAGTTAACGCATGTGTTTGCACAGTCACAGGAAGGTGTTGAGGGTTTGATAAATTGCTGTTTCGTGCTTTGTCCCAGTGATCACTAGCGACTCTCCCCACCCCCGGCTGGGAACCAGGAAAGGGAGGGGGCTGCCTGGTGTTCCCGAGCCTGGCAGGACCTCCCAACAGTCAACACAAGAGTCTGGGCAAGCACTGAGGCCAGTCAAACATGTGTGTGTGTGTGTCTGACACACACGGAAACCCGTCACCGTGACCAGCCGGGTGTCTGACACACACGGAAACCCGTCACCGTGACCGGCCGGGTGTCTGACACACACACACGGAAACCCGTCACCGTGACCGGCCGGGTGTCTGACACACACACACGGAAACCCGTCACCGTGACCGGCCGGGTGTTTGACACACACACACACGGAAACGCGTCACCGTGACCGGCCGGGAGTCTGACACACACGGAAACCCGTCACCGTGGCTTAAGAGCCTCCAAACTAAGCTGAGAATTCCCCACATCCCCCCCACACCTGGGAACCCCTGAGGGATGATGGATTGTTGGGATGGAAGCGGGTCGAGGGGCTGAAGGACCCTGTGTGGCTGCGTGTGGCCGAGGTGGTCTGGACGGAGGACGTTAGTGGTGACACACGTGTCCCCTGGGGTGGGGCATCCCGAGGAGGGAAGTGAGTCATGTGCAGGAAGTGCCCAATCCGCCTTTGGCTCACGGAATGTTTGGCAGGAAGTGACCCGGCCCCGGGGTCAGTGTGGACAGCATTCCCGGGAATGTCTCCTCTCCGCCATGGTCTGGAGGAGCCCAGACCCACATTCCTCCCGGCTCCAACCGTGGCTTCAGATTGAAGGTGACGGTGTAGAGAATGGTGGGAGATTCCTGAGTACAACTCCAACTTCGAACAATCAGCTTCGGCTCAATATACACGGGCTCAAGGCTTGGACCCTGAGGAATTCCATGCCTCTGACATGCACACACTGACATCCACTCCCACTGACACACACACTCACTCACACATTGACATACACGCTTACACACACACACATATTGACATACACGCTCACACACACACATTGACATACACACTCACACACACACATTGACATACACACTCACACACACATTGACATACACACACACGCACACACACACAGCTGGGAGCTCTGCTCTCACTCCGCTCACTTGAAACCCAATATTGACAGAAGGAACCATTTGGTTTGAATTTTCTCACAGCAGAGGCCGAGAGCCAGACACTGACATCTTTGTTACCCTGAAACCCAGAGTCTAACAACCTGAGTATAAAACCTCCATCTCACAGTCCCTTCACCTCACTTCCTCCCTCGCCGCCTTTAAAGGCACATCTCAAGACCTTCTCTTCGACCGTGCCTTAGGTCACCCTCCTACCCCCACCCTCCCTGCCTTCCACCCTTCTGATCCGAACCCCCAGGGCCTTTCTCTTCGGGTGGGGAGGACGTCCCAACTCCACTTTTTTTGTCCGCATATAAAAATGTCAAAAAAGGAAAATTAACAACTTTATTTCACTTTCACTGAGGCAGAGACCCACCAACCCCAACCCCCTGAGGCAGAGAGAAAGACAGACACTGAGACACACACACACAGTGAGAGAGAGACTCAAATCCTGTAGAATGCAGGAAGGGCAGAGCGAGGGAGGTGAGGGATCATCGGAAATTGTGTCCTCATTTACACCACTAAAAACAGCTGTTCATCACAGAAACCTCCTCCGGATCCTCTCCAACCCTCAGCGAGTTTCTCTCCCAATCCCTACACTGGGGGCTGGGCAGGGAGTGAGGCACTGACAGGATTACACACACACACACAGAGGATCATTAGCTCAGAATTATAATAATACAAGAGGTTTCAAAAAGAGAATTGGATAAATATTTGAGAAAGAAAATTCCGAAAAGGTGTGTAAGTGTGTGTGGGATGGTCACTGCTCGGCGCGATTGGCTGCTGCGTTTCGCCCACAAAATACAGAGTTAATACACTCTGCAATATATCCTGTGAAGCGCTTTGAGACGTCTCAACGACGTGTATCAAATACAAGGATTATAATTATTGTTATTATACACGGCTCTGTCAGTGTCCGTACAGGCTGAATGGCCAAGTAGCTTTCAGCGAATGCCCCGGGAAGACACACATACTCCCTCACACTCACTCACTCTCTCGGATGCTCACTCTCTCTCTCACACACTCACATACAGTGAGCTGTAAGCTGCTCCCCTGTCTGACGCTGATGCTGACAGGCCGACGTAGAGCAACAAAAGGAATAGTGTTTTACTGTGTCAGTCCACACCCCCCTCCCTTGCTCCCTCCCTCCCAGTGTAAGTGATCTCTCAGCCCAGCACAGCACAGAGCCAGCCAGCGGGAGCCACACACACAGCCAAGCTCTCAGAGAGCGGAGAGATCAGCCAGCACCTTCTCTCAGGTAGGTCTCTCCCTATCCCCCCAACACACACACAGCCCCCGCACCCCCCCAGTGATCCCCAGTGAGGCTGTGCTGACAGCTCTGATCTCCCATACAGTGACCGTGTGAAGCTAGAGTGAGATCGTGAGGACAATTCCTTCAACAGAATGAGGTGCGGGCAGACAGGCAGAGCAGACATGACTCACAGCGCGAGTTTATGAGCTGAAAGACAAGGGCTTTGGGACGTCATCCCGACATTAAATGGAAAGGTGTTTTATACATGTAATCAGTTGTTGTAGTTGTTGAGGTGCTTGTGGGCTAATGTGTGGTATTTCTTATAGCGTCCCTCAGTATGAAATGTGGAAAGTACAATGGAGCGACTTCAGGCAATGTTTCTCACACATTCGATGGTTTACAAATTCCCTATTTACATGTTTCTTATTAGGAAATATAGCAAACTGGCCCCTCATGCTGTTTGTTGGCAGCTTTTCTGCAAAATTATTTTGATGGTGAAAACGGACTCGAGTCTGTGGAGCAAGACATCACCTGAGATAGAGACTGAGACACAGACACACACACACTGACACACCAAGATATAAACACACACACACTGAGCAGACACACTAAGATACATACACAGACACACATGGTCACACACACCTACACACAGACACACGCACACAGACACAGAGACACACACACACAGGGACACACACACACACACACTGGGACACAGAAAAACCCACAGACTGAGACACTTAGAACTTCAGTGAACAACCAAGGCTGTCGTACAGACTTGTCACGTCGAGCACATTGGCAAAGAAAGAGACAGAAAGAGAGTCAGGGAGAGAGAACATCAAGAGGATGTTCCAAAGAGAGAGAGAGAGAGAGACACCCCCCCACCCCGACACAAAGAGGCAGAGAGGTAGAGGGAGAGACACAAAGAGGAAAATACACACACCGACCAACTATCACAGAGACACACACACACACACACAGGCACAGAGAGACACATTGAGCTGTGTGAAGCTCGGCTCTGAGATCTCCTTTACTGAACACAGACCGGGGGTGGGGGTGGGGGTAGGGGTGGGGGGTGGTTTGCTATCCTCGCTGTGTGCGCTCCGAGACGCTGCCCAGAGTGAGGGCGCTATTAAATGCAAGTTGTTGTTTTTGTTGTGTAAAGCGAGAGGAGCTGAGCCCTGCCAAGTGAGCACACACCCACTGGCTGGCTCTGGGGGGGGGTGTGGGGGGCCCGAATGGCCTCCTTACGGCCGTGATCAGTGTCATTGGGGAAGTGTCAGACGTTGCTGTGTTCCCGGGGTAACGAGCATCGGGCGATCCTGTGTCTGTTGTAAAGCATACCAGCCCGGCATTGAGCCGGCATTGTGTCACCGGTGTCAGGTTCCACCACCCACCCGCCCGCCCCCCCCCATCCCGGGCATCGGCCACAGTGACAGCTCCACTGTTACACTTTGCCATCACAGCGCGTGTGTGTGTGTGTGTGTGTGTGCAGTGTTGGGTGGGAGAACGTAGGGGTGAATGACTGCGCTCTCTCTGTCTCTCTGTGCGTCCTCTCACTCTCTCTCTGTGTGTCTCTCTCTCTATCTCTCTCTCTGTGCTAATGCCCAGGGCAGCTCCTGGGTCAAAGCCGTTCCAAAACGGAGGGAAATTAAATAAACTTTCCATTAAATTTTGCTTATTTAATAAGTTGCAGGAAATTCATAATATCCTCTCTCACTCAGGCTCTGTCCCTGTCTGGAGACATTATCCCATCAACACTGCAGGTCATTACAGGACGGGTCAGAGGCAGAGTGAAGCTCCCTCCCTCGATCTCTCTCCCTCCCTCGATCTCTCTCCCTCCCTCGATCTCTCTCAGTCCCTCCCTTCACCCTCTCAATCCCTCCTTTCACCCTCTCAATCCCTCCTTCTCTTACTCTCACCCCCTATCCAGTCACTGCGCTTTACAGTATATCCTGTGAAGGGCTTTGAGACGTCTTGAGGACGCGATAAGGCATTGGCTCAAATGTAATTTGTTGTTGTTGTTGTTGTTGAGGTACCTCACCTGTCCAGTGTGTTGCCCAGGTGAAGGCGGTGCGCCACCTGCTGGCCTGACAGCAATGTGCAGCCGGAAGGTGACAGGACCTCGTTCTGTCTCCATCAGTCACTGCGGAATCTCTCTGATCAACGATGTGTTGTCTGTGAGACGGGAAAGTTACACTGTTAGGGACCGAGTGAGTTTAGCAGAGAATTGGGGGAAACGTAGAAACAGGAGGAGGCTATTCAGCCCTCGAGCCTGTTCCGACATTCTATAAGGTCCTGTCTGATCTGTACCTCAACTGCAATTACCCGCCTTTGCTCCCTATCCCTTGATACCCCGACCTCACGACCATCTATCCACCTCAGTCTTGAAGGAAGGGAGAGAGAGGGGAGGGAAGAAGGGGGAGGGGAGAAGGGGAGGGGGGTGGAATGTGGACGAAAGGTGTGGAGAGCAATCAGCTGGAAGCGATTACTGAGTCTCTGGTTTGAGCCGCACTTTGGCAGCTGTGAACTGTCCACCTTTGAGCTGAACACGTTGTGTACAATGTTGACGGGAGTTTGGAGCAGATCAGAGGGTGTATTTAAACCTGTCTGTGATCAGAGGGAGAGCTTTAAACACACAGGAAAAGGAAAGGAAAAGGAAAGCTATTTGATGAGGGGTTTGTGAGGCGGAGGATGGTTTCAGTCTGAGGGGAAAGGCACGGAATTGGCAAACGAGTTTGCCAGATGGCATGTTATTTTGGGGGTGACTTTTCCTATTGCAGGGTTTAGTGTTTCTGTGTTGGTCGAAGCCAAGAAAGGAACTGAGCCAAACACAGAGAAAGTGAACGGTGGGGGAGGGAGGCAGTGAAGGGCGCCGGGGGGAGTGAGGGCATGCGAGGAAACGAGTGGTGAGGAGGTTTAACATTAACTTTGCCTTAACCCCAATCTCTCCGGCTCCTGCTTCACTTTTTTGGGGGATTCAAAAGCACCCAAGTCGTGGATTCTGAGCTCCAGCCCAGCGCTGGAGGGGGAGGTTGGTGGATCTCTTTTCTGGGGGTAATAATCCCTTCAAAATAAAAATTTGGGTCACTCAATCCACTGCTGCGTTTTGCCCACAAATACACAGTCACCACACTTTACAGTGTATCCTGTGAAGCCCTTTGAGACATCTCAAGGACGTGATCAGGCGCCGGGTCAAATGCCGGGATTATTGTTATATTATTTGATATCCCGGTGGATTGGGTGGTGTTTGCGATGATTTGCTCATCACCGGAAAAAGAGGGATGAAATGTTGCAAAATATGCAGAACAGGATGTGACTGGTGATAATTATCACATGGCAATACCGCAAATTACCCCCTTCCCCCCGACCCCCCCCCCCCCCCATCCCCGGGATAAATTAGCATCATGTGGTCTTTTAACAAGAGCGAGCGAGCGAGCGAGCGCGACCTGGAGCACTATGACCCTGGAGACATCTCGCTCCGTGGACCACTGGAATTTCGGCTTCTCCTGATTTCGAGCCACTTTTAGGAAGTTCACTTTAGGCTGAGCTGACAGGAGCCGAGGCGGTCTCGCTCGCTCGCTGCACCGGGCAGTTACCTGATACCCTCCCCTCCCCCAGCCCCTCGCTCCTCCCACCCCCCCACCTCCCCACGCCCCGAGCCTCTAAAAGGAAAATTGCAGTTGGAGATACTTCTGCAGTTAAATTGGAAAAAGCGCAGACGAGGGGCAGACGTGACAGTCAGACTGTGCTCTCGGCGGCTGCTTCTCGCTCACGGTAAGAAACATCAGCGCACGCACAGACGTCCCCGAGCACCGGGAAAGTGGGATGGGGGAGGGAATACCGCGACCGATGCACACACCGCCCCCCCCACTCCCCCAGCCCCGCGGACACCCCGAGGCGCCCCATCGTACCCCGCGTCGTGAGTCACGTTTCGGATTTTAAGATCGTGGCGAAAAAGGGGAATTTAGGAGCGAACAGTATTTTAAAACCACAGGACGGAAGGAATGTGACATCGTCTGGAGCCACAACAATCCGTCCGTTCGGCGAGAAAGGAATTGCACAGACACCGGAGGAGAGGAATGTGGTGTTAAATGGGTGGCTGTGCGTGGGGAGAGAGAGCGGTAGAGAGAGACTGGCGCTCGAGCGGCTGGTGTGAGGCTGAAAGTTGAGCACGGACACAACGGGGCTGAATGTCTGTCTCTGGGGCTGACGTTGTGCTGAGCGCTCTGGGACGCTATCCTGCGCGAGGGGCGCTGCATTGCTGTTGGGGACACGCCATGCCGAGCCACTGGGAGGAAGGTGGACTGGATGGACCTTGGTCTTCTTCCATCCGGCGACTCTTATGTGCACACGGACAGGAGGCGGTTGTTCTGATGGGGGGGCGAGGGGTGGGGTGGGGGGAGTGCGGGGTGGGGGGAGTTGGTGTCCAGACCCCGGACAAAGTGGCTGGGCGTCTGGCTACTGATCTCCGACTCGGACCAGCTACCGCCTCCCTCCCCCACCCCCACCCCCACCCTCACACACACACACAGCCCTCTGCCTCCCACAGGGAACAATGACCCCTGGTGGCCGGTTGGGGGTGTTGCAGCCACAGCTCCCCCTCGGTTTGGGGGGTGGGGGGGTGGGGGGGTCACTGCCCAACGCCCCGACCTCCTATCCTCCCAGAATTCCCGAAGACGTCAAAAATGTCCCAACCGGTAGCCACTGGGATTGGCTATATCCGCTCCGACCCTGGGAAGACCTCTTATCGGCCCCTCTCTGGCCAAGCTTTCCCACTGCTTGTCCAGCGAGGACCCCCCTCCCCGTTAGTTAGGGCTTTGGCTGTGGGGTTACCAGGAGCTGAGGGGGAGGATTCCCGGCCCCCAGTGACTGGTCGGCCATTCCAGGTCCTGCTGATGAGCCGGGCCGGGCTGTGCTGCCATCAGCAGTGAGTGCCCTGGGACACTGCGGCCCCTCCCAGCTCAGGACCCGGGACTAGTGACCGGCACAGAGGGCTGGCCTCAGCACTGGGTGAGGGGGGGGGGTGGGTGAGCTCTGTCTCTCTGGGGCGGGGCGGGGCGGGGCAGAAAGGCCTTCGCCTGTCCCTGAGAGTTAAGCCATGAAGGGAGACTGTGGCTCTGGTTGGCTGTGTTGACTTTTCTTTCTGCTCTGTCTCCCCACTGCAGGGCTCCACGGAGCAGCTCGACCCAGACACCGCGACGGAGACAAGGAGCAAGAACGCGAAGCTGAGCGCCACGCTCATCCCCCAGGGGCCCCAGCTCGGACCCCGGGGCCCCCAGCAACTCGATGAGCTCACACTGAGTGGTGTCCGGGAACCGGCAGCGAATGGCGGCAAAGTGACGGAGATCGGAGAGCTGGAGCCCGAGCTGGGAGTTGGGAGCCTGGAGCCGGGCTGGCGAGTGGGGGGAAGCCTGGAGGCCAACCTGCCCTACTTTGAAAGCCGAGGGGCGAGGGAGATGGAGAGCCAGGCAGGGGCAGACACAGGCACAGACAAGGACGGACTCACCGCGGGCGACCAGGAGCCACGAGGAGCCGGTGAGGAGGTGACGGAACCCGAGGCCGAGGAGACTCCGGTCAAGCCAGCCAGGACAGCCCTGGAGGTTCACTTGACCCCCGCGCCCTCTGGCCGGGCCTACATCGACCTGCAGTGGGAAGGACCCGAGGCCTCCTCTGTCACCCCCCACAACAAGTCACCCAAACCCCTCCCGGTGTCACCCAACACGGTCCCCCAGCCCTCCGCCCCGACCTACCCCAGCCCTCCCCCACTCTCCCGCCTCCCCCCTCCCCCCACACTAGCCCAACTCCCCAGCCAGGCCAGGAAGACCAACATTCTGGAAGATTCCAAGGTGCGGCGGGCCGGAAAGAAGCCCATGTTCACGTTCTTCGAGAAACCAAAAGTCACTCCCAACCCGGAGCTGCTGTCGCTGGTGCTGGGCCTGGATGAGAGGAAGCGACGAGAGGAGCCGGGACCTGGGGTTGGACTTGGGCTGGAGGAGGAGGAGTACCTGAGCCTGGGGGCCGAGGCTGCCTCGCTGGCCCAGCCCTCAGAGCCAGGCTCCGGCCCGTACCAGGCCCCAGAGTGGCTGTCCTGCCTGAAGCCCTCAGAGGCCAGGGCCCAGCTGCAGAGCGGAGCCTCCCAGGCTCTGGCCGAGCGGACGGGCCGGGGGGCCGAGCTGTTCGCCAGACGACAATCGCGGATGGAGAAATATGTGATCGAGTCGGCACCGGTCAGAGAGACCCCCGCCCGCTCCCCCTCCCCTACCATGTCCCTGCCACCATCTTGGAAATGCTCGGAGCTCCCCCGAAGGGCCTCGGCCACTGGCTGGTTGACGGGGCCGAAGAGCTCACGCGGAGGTTTCAGAACCCAGCCTGCAGCCTTCACGGCCCCCCCTCGACCCCCCCCACAAGCCCCTCCTCGGTGGGATGGCTCCCCTCACCAGCTCAACCCCTCCCTGTTTATTCTCTCCCCCAAAAAGAGCCCCACAGCCTCCCTGCCCAAGGCAGCGCCCCCTGCACCTAAGGTCATCATGGCTGAGGAGCCTCCACCAACCAGGCCCCCACCTCCCCTCAGGCAGGCCTCACTGCCTGCTCCTCAACCACAGGCCTCACTCCCTGCTCCTAAACCACAGGCCTCACTCGCCGCTCCTCAATCACAGGCCTCACTCCCGGGCACATTCATACAGGCTGCTCTCCCCGGTCCCCTCAGACAGGTCTCATTCTTCTCCACCATCAACGAGGCCTCACTGCCCGCTCCCCTCACACAGGCTGCTCTCCCCACACCCCAACCGCAGGTTTCCTTCTCCCACCAGGCCTCACTCTTCCCTCCCCAACCACAGGCCTTGTACACCTCCACCAACAACCAGGGCTCATTCCCCTCCCCCCTCACACAGGCCTCGCTCCCCTCCCCCCTCACACAGGCCTCGCTCCCCTCCCCCCTCACGCAGGCCTCGCTCCCCTCCCCCCTCACACAGGCCTCGCTCCCCTCCCCCCTCACGCAGGCCTCGCTCCCCTCCCCCCTCACACAGGCCTCGCTCCCTTCTCCCCTCACACAGGCCTCGCTCCCCTCCCCCGGCAGAGCCCCCACCTCCCCACCCAGGCTGAATGGGTTTGGTAACCATGACGACAGCTTCAGTGCCGCAGTGATGGCCGTGCCGGTGGAGGTGGTCCCGGTGTCGCCACCATCGTCTTCCCCCAGCCGCGGCAGCCCGTCCCCGAGAGGCCAGGACCAGGCACAAGCCCCCAGACCCTCCTTCTCAGCCAAGAGAGCGGGACTCGAGGCCCAGGTGTGGATTCCGGCCTCGGCCTTTCTCTGAGGGGGGTTGGGGGTGGTCGACAGTGAGGAGGGTAAACTCACAGTGTTATATACACCGGGTGACCAGAAAGTCATCATATCCACTCTATTATCTAAAAGAAAACAAAAATATCATAATTTCTTTTGAGGCTTATTTGACATTGTGATGGTATCACAACTTTTTGGTCACCATAGGAACGGGAGGAGGCCATTCAGCCCCTCAAGCCTGTTCTTCCATTCTATCAGATCATGGCTGATCTGTACCTTAACTCCAAGTATTCAGAAAGTTCAGAAACACGTACCCTTATTTCTTTGCTGTGACAGCGTCAAACTATGCTAATATCTCCATAGCTTCTGACTGATCTCCTCTGAACCAATATTTTGAGACGTCACCTTGGTTCATCCCCCTCACCCACCCACACACCCACCCACACACCCGCACACAGACTGCACAGGTCTGAGCCGATGGTGGCTGGAGCTGAGATCTTGTCACCGGTTAGAATCAGACTCTCCCTCCCTGGTTCTCCCTCTCCCTGCTTTCCCAAATCTCTCTGCTCCCTCTCTGTGTCTGTCTGTCCCGCCTGAACTGTCTGAGGGTGGTTTATTGTTGGTCTGTGCCTCAGGATTGAAACACAAACCGCGGGTCTGACTGGCGGCCAGTGATAGCCTCTCTCTATCTCTTCTGCTCTTCAATAAACCTCTCGCTTCCTCAAACTCCTCTTTCTCTGTCTCTTTCTGTCATTTGTCTCTTATTAAAGATGTTCATGACAGTGGGTAACGCGGGAGAAAACATCAGCAAAGATTCCTTTACAACAACAACTTGCATGTGATACATTTATGTAATGTCCCCCACACAGGGTAGCGACCCAGAGCCCTTGAGATCCTAACACCTGAGGCAAGGTTACTGAAGGGAGCAACTTGGCTGTTTCCCCTCCCGTCATGCATTTGCTCCCTGGGTCTCTCACTCACAGGCCATCTCCTGGGAGAGGGCTGGGGGGTGGGTGGGTGGCGGGGGGGGGGGGCAGGAGTTTGATGACGAGGAAGGGGACATGTTATTTGATCACATGAAGTTGTGGTTAGCACACTCGTCTCGTAAGGGAGAGCACCGGGGTTGGATTCCCGGGCAGGGAGAAACGTTCGGCAGGTTTCCTAACCCCACACGCCTACTTACCTGGTGGAAAGTAAGTACCCAGTTGTTAGTCGACTGGAGGATCACTTTCCAGGGGTAATAATCCCTTAAAATAAATGTAGTGACTCTTTTCACGGCTTTTTGAGGGGACGATTGGCTGCTGCGTTTCACCCACAAAACATACAGTCAATTCACGTTACAGTGTAATCCGTGAAGTTCGGCACCAAATGCAACGATTATGATAATTGACGGATTCTGCGAGGATGTAACTCATTGTGTTCTCTCTCTCTCTGCAGCTGAAAGCCTCCCCTGGGAGCCAGACCTGGAGACCCAGCTTCGAGCGGCGGCTGAGCAGCCCCCAGCGTCTGAGCGAGGAGTGGAGGGAGGGTCCGCGCTCGCTCCCCCACCCCCTCAGCCCCCCGGGGGGGTGGTCAGTGCCCAGAGACCCCAGGACCAGCGCCGACAGCCGGCGGCTCAAGGACATCCTGGCCATGAATGTGGTGAACGCCGCCCGGCGGAAAAAGCTGGGGAGCCCTGTGTCCGAGGCTCTGGGGCCCAGCCTGGTCTCCCCGGGGCCCGGCCTGGTCGCCCCGGGGCCCAGCCCCGGCCCCTTCTCCCCCCCCTCACCCTCCTTCAGGCCCTCCCCGGACACTCAGCACACAGTGACTCGCTCTCCCCTCCGCCTCTACAGCCGCTCCCTCACCGACTCCGACTTCTCTGGGGTGTCTGAAGACTCCAGCCCCAAGTCCCCCAGTTACCTCAACTTCTGCCCCCGCGGCTGGAGTGGGAGCAAGGCCAGGTTAGCCGAACACCTGCCCTAGAGACACACACTGCCCACCAGCCCTCCCGCCCAACATTCACCCTAATTGTTATTAATAATAATAATTTGGAAGCTGGTTTCATTTCGTTTCTCAACCCACGGCTGTTTGTGGGGACGCTGCTGTGCGCAATCGGCTGTTTCGCAACACAAAATACACAGTCACTACACTTTATAGTATATTCTTTGAAGTGCTTTGAGACGTCTCGAAGACATGATGAGGCGCTGTATCACATGCAAGGATTATTATTATTATAAAATGCTTTGGGTTTCGGTGCTGGGAACGTCCCCCAATTTCCCCATGGCTCAGCTCAGTTTCACACCCTTGCCTCAGGTCAGCTCTGACCGTGAGCCCGAAGGCTGGCGTGACCGGCAGACGGGAAACTTACAGGCCAAGTCTGCAGTCGCCAGCCTCCGCGCCTCCCCGACTCCAACGCCACAACCTTTCCCACCCCAACAGAAACTCCAGGGTTTTGCCCCTGGCTCGGCAGTCGCTCATTAACCCAGACAGCCACACAGAGATGCTTCACAACCAGGTCCATCTCCGCACCCGCTCCCCTTCCCAACCTGTCGCCCAGACATTGCCTCCGCGTTCAGCTAATGGCTCGCTCGCTCACTCACGCACTGTCACTCACCTCCAGTGTACGTCACACAACCCGCTCAGTCTCACTGTCACCAGTTATAACCAGCAGAACTTCTCCATATAAAGACATCTCAGCTTAGGTTTTTCTTCTGAACAATACAGTTTTCCTTCTCTCTGTCTCTCTCCCCCGGCTCGACTGATGATTATAAATAGAATAAGGTCCGAAACCATTTCCTATCAAATGCAAACGAGATTGTATCTCATTGATGATAAATATATAAACTTGGTTTCAGTTTGAGCGTCTGCATTTATTGTGTTGGTTATTAAGGGCATCTCAGAGTAAAGCTGGTTAATTGGGGACATTGGCACCCAGACACGTCCTCCACTCCGCACCCCACAGATCCTCCCAAGCCCACACCCCCACCCCCAGACTGAGGGAGGGGATGAGGGTACAACACATCCACAATTTGATAGCTACCCAGCATTTTCCTCTATTGACAAACATTCCTCTATAGGGCACAGATTTCTTACACAATAAAGACAGAGGAAAGCTGAGTGATGTGAGTGCTTCCGGACTCTTAATGGTTAGATACCAGCAGTTACCCCAACACACACTCTGGGCTCCCCCCAAGCCTGGGCTCTTGCCAACCTGCGCCTAATACTCTCCAGAATTAGGTAAGCAGGATGGATCCCTCCAGGGCGAGAGAGAGAGAGAGAGAGAGAGCATCCCATTCCAACAATCTCTCTCTGGGATTTCCATGTGTAGGTGGGATACATGAAATTCTCAGGCTGGGGTTTGGAGACTCTTCAGCAATGGTGATGGGTTTCCGCGCATGTCAGACACTGCGTTGAGCAAAATAAATCCCTGACCCTCACCACAGGAGGGCAGTGAGACACTGGAGCAATGGGCTCTCGAAGGAATGAATGGGACGGTTTGGGCAGCAATGGTGTAGGTAACAAAGAGCCTCGGAACAGGAGCACCAACAGCTCACAGAGCCCTGTGCATTGGGCGGCTCAGTGTCACGATAAACATAACCTGAAAGGCCGGTGGAAGCCAAACCGATGACAACTTTTAAGCGAGAAGTAGATAATTATTTGGGGAGGACAAGTTTGCAGGGCTATGGGGAGAGAGAGAGCGGGGGAGTGGGGTTGATCAGGGCTATGGGGAGAGAGCGGGGGAGTGGGGTTGATTTGGAAGCCCTTTTCAAAGAGCAGCACAGACACGATGGGCTGAATGGCCTCCTTCTGTGCTGTATAATTCTATGATTACAATCCTGCATTTTTATCCAGCGCCTGTTGCTTCATGTAAGCAAACACAGCAACCAATTTACACACATTACACAACAGCCACAAAGTGAATAATAAACCATTTACCTGGAGGATTGTTGGCCAGGACACTGGGGGCAATTCTCCCTTCTCTTTTCCGACAGTGTCATGGGATCTTTAACAACAACAAATTATATTTGTAAAGCACCTTACATGTCAGGAGGACGTACCAAAGCAGTTTAACACCCGACTGAACAGGCACAGACGGGACTTCATTTTAATGTTTCAACCACAAAATACAGTCACTACACGTAACAGTATGTCCTGTGAAGCGCTTTGACACGTCTCAAAGACACGCTAAGGTGCTGTATCAAATGCATGGATCATTGAATCTGAAGGACAGAACCTGCGACACAGCAAGCAATTACTGTTGAGGTGTAGTGACTGTTTCTGTAGCCAAATGGAGAGCTAAGGGGATCTCACTGTTAACGAGTTAACTTGGCCGGTTTAATTATTTACTAACGGGAAACCCAAGACCCCCGGTGTCTGCCGGCAGCTGTTCACATCCCTCGTGGGAAGGAGACGGAGAGAGTTTCACGGCTAAATATAAGTTTATGAGCAGACGGAGCGGGGAGGAGAGAGAAGAGAGGAGAGGGACGGTCCTGTCTCGGTCGGGCCAGGCAAGGAGTTGTCACAGACACAGCCAGGAGCTCCCAGTCCTGCAGTACTGAGTGGCCAGGTCAGCGAGGGGCAAAGCACAGCCCCAACACCAACCCGGGTAAGAGACCAAACCCCAAACCGACAAGTGTTTAACCCTTTAATCAGGCTCCTGATTCGTCCACTGACGATTGGGAGGGGAAGGAGGTGGGGGAAAAGGGAGCAAAGGGACAGGGAAAAGCAACCGGGTGGATGGGAACGAGCGAGATGGGTATCAAAGGGAGTGAGTAAGTGTGAGAGCGTGAGGAGTAAGAGAGGGAGGGACAGGAGAGTGAGGAAGTGGGGAACAAAGTAGCAGCGAGTATATGGGGGAAGTGAGGGGACGAGTGAGGGGGAAGAGAGGGGTACGAGTGAGCGAGAGGGGTGAGGAAAGGGGGAACGAGGGCGGGGCGAGCGAGGGGGGAAAGCGAACAAAGTTGCGTTGATGGAATCGGTTGAAGAAATCTTGGGTTTCGAACAGCTCAAAACAAACAAGCGAATTGGGAGTCGCTTGAGTTTCTGATGGGATTTTCCTTGTTCCTGCAGGAAGAGCTCCCCAAGGGCCCCTCGCACAGTTCCACCGACCCCCGACTACCCCCACCGTCCATCACAGACACCAGCCATGTCGTACGCCGCAATGATCAAGGAGAAAAAGGAAAAGGCCGCGATTGTCGCAAACGAATTCCACCGAGCGGGAGGTAACTTCACGTCTGTCTGTCCAGCCGTCCGGGAATTAGGTCCCAGCGGATCCTCAGTGCCCAAGTGTCTGTTTCCCTTTTCAACATCTCAATAGATTGATTCTGTTTCTGTGTCTCTCTGGGGCTGTGGTATCAGCCTGACTCCTCGCTCAGACCCCCTCCCTCTCCCTACCCCTCGCTCAGCCCCCCTCTCGCACCCCCTTATGACCCACTATCTCACTCGTTGATTCTTTTCATCCCTCTGCACACTTTGATCTGATCGCCCCCTTAACCTCTTCAGTATATAATAATCCTTGCATTTGTTGTTGTGCCTTATCACATGATCAAAACGTCTCAAAGCGCTTCATGGGATTTACTGTAAAGTGCAGTGACTGTGTGTTTTGTAGGCGCTCAGCAATGTCCCACTGACAGCCACAAAGTGAATGATCAATATTTCTCTGGGGGATTTTTCCCTTCTCTGATTGAATAGAGCCGCGAGATCTTTAACATCAGCTGAACAGGCAGAAAGGAGCTCAGTTCAACATCTAATTTGTAGGACGTACAACGTGATGCTCCCCCCACAGCACTGCTCTGGAACCCAGGTCAACCCACCCTCTCATCCCAGCTAAACCCCATCATCCTGGGGGTTGATCTGCTGATGTTCCCTGGAAGACCTCCAGGTATAATCTTGTGGTCCGAGCTGTAGCTGATCTCTGGTCTCGAGGGGAAATGCTCCACGTGTTTTGACCACAAACACAAGTTCCCAAGTGTCTGTCTGACCTCAGTCTCTGTCTCAGTCTCTGCTCCAGGCCAGGTTTGCCGGAGGCTAAATATCACTCCGTGACGCTGAATCTATTCCTGTGTGTGATTGGCAGGGAAAGCTGTTGGGGAGGAAGCCGTCAACTTTGCATGTCTCGCAGTGCGGGCAAGCGAGATGTCCTACCACCCACCCCTACACCTACAGCCCCACGAAGCCACTCGCTCAACAATAACAACCACCAGCGCAGGTCATGCAGGGCAGCGTCTCGGAGCAATTAACAGTGGCTGAGTGGTGGGGTGGGTGGGGAGGAGGTGACCATGAGCTTTCCTGACACCTGGAGTGTAGGGACTGGGCAACGGGAGGTAAACTTGGCAGCCAATTTGCACACATCCTGACCCCACAGGCAGTCATGGGGGAAGTCAACTATTTACAACAACACAAATTTATATGGCATCCCTCAAGCAGGACAACCTCCCAGAGATCTATTTATCGGAAGAATTATTTATGGGAAGAATTGTTGGTCATGACACTGGGAGATGGACTCCCTTCTCTTTACCTCACTCTCATTGCCTGGACTTCTCTCCGCCCCCCCCCAGAAGTAGTGCAGCTGAACCTGGGGAAGAAAGCCCACCTGCCGCAGGATGTGATGGTGGAGGAGCTGGCGTTACTCTCCAACAAAGGGGCCAAGATGTTCCACTTGCGACAAAAACGTGTGGACAAGTTCACGATAGAGAGCCCGGATGACCGGCATCAGGTGAGACCAGTCTGTACCAAGCTTAAACACCTGGATCAGGTTCCGACCCCCCTTGATACTGACAACAAATAGTGCTTCCTCTGCCCCCACCCTTTGGAACTCCATCCCACAGTTCCTTCGCCTCGCCCCTCCCTCAAGACCCATCTCAAGACCCTCCTCTTCAATCAACCACGCCTTCTGTCACCCTCCTATCCTATCCTCCACCCCTCCTGATCCCAACCCCCAGCTCAGGTGCATATCCTGACTGTCCAGCGCCTTGGGACATCCTCCTGACGTGAAAGGCTCCGTGTAAATGTTATTTGTTGTTATTGATCAAAACCACTGATCATAAATGAACAACCCACCCCCCACCTTCTCTGCTCCAGCAAAACTCCTCTGTACAGAACCATCACTTCACACATGAGATGAGCAGACAGCTGGAGCGAGCTATCAGGGAGAGGTTGAGGGCTTGTCGCTGGGACATACTTAAGAAACAGCTCAACGCTGTAACGGGAAGAAGGATTCTGCAAAGTTGAGATCAAACAGACGTCTTCATTCCTACCCTCTGGTGTCACCCTGTATCGAGTGACCGCCTGCTTGCCTGCCCTGTCCTAGCCTGTGACATCCTGTGTTATAATCAACCTCTCATTCTCCTCCAGCAGAAAGGCTGCGTCTCGAAGCTCCCCGAGGGGCTGAAGGAGAATTACAAGACTGAGATCTTCATCCCACAGGGTGGGAAGGCCCCGGGACCCCCCGTCTCCGCCAAGCTCCCGGGAAGTCTCACCGCAGGCAAACACCTCAACATGAACCCCAGCCTCATTGCTCCAGGTACAGCTCACAGTGCTGTACATAACCACAGTGAAATAGGTTACCATATCAACACTCTTTACACTGCAGCAAAGTACCGAGGGAGGGGCTGACATGGGCAGAGGGCAGAAGGGGAAGAGGGTCAGTTGTCGTCATTCACCTCTGGGTTTCAATCCAGTCCCAGCCCAACCCGGTGAGAGTCTTGTGTGGGTTGGTGTGAGGGTCCCTGAGCAAGGACATGGGTTTGAGCCAATCTCAGCCCAGTTCCCAATGGGCTTGGGGGGGCGAATCCTGTACCGAACAATCAAACTCACTCAGAGGCCACGGGACGTGATGGGGAACGACAACAATAAATTTTATAGCCCCTTCCAGCGCTTTGGGACGTCCTCCCCACGTGAAAGGCGCTCTATAAATGTAATTTTGTTGTTGTTGTTTCACAAAGGGTGCAGTAGGGACGCTGTTGTTGGGCTTGTGTTAAACCCCCAGTGGAGGGGAAGAAACTCACCTCTCAAATGTCTTCTTCACTGACTCTCTTGGCCCCCAGGAACGTGGCAGTGGATCTACACCTCACCTTTTCCATTGCTTTGATAGCCTCCAATAACAAGTGTCCAAATCCACACACAGCTGTTGCCCCTCACACTCCGCTCCACCCCCAATTGCTGCTCCACCCCCTCAAGCTATGCTCTGCCCCCTCCACCAGGTTACTCGGGGCCCCTGAAGGAGATCCCCCCGGAGAGGTTTAACAGCACGGTGGTGCCCAAGTCCTACCACTCGCCGTGGGCAGAGGCCATGAACGAAGAACACGACTACGTAGAGAGCATCAGCGCCAACCTGCCTGAGCCCCCGCCCCAGTCACAGGCCTTCAGGTGCTTCAACAGGTGAGTGTCATCAGCACAGAACAGCCACCCCAGAGAAACTGTTGTTAAATCGTGTCACAGCAACTCTGACCTTCACGCAACCAGGTAGACGGGATTTTACCTTTAGATCCGATGTGAAGGACAGCACCTGCGACAACGCAGCGCTTTCTCCCCAGAGCTTCCCCACCCCACCCCAGTGCTGCACTGGAGCATCAGCCTGGACTGAGCTCATGTCCTGATATATGGCTCCAATCCACATCCTCCTGACTCGGGCCAGACACCGAGGCCGGCTGACATCGGCAGTTTAACATCAAAGATTGTGTTAGTATGCTCCCACCCCGCCACCCCCCAGCACCGAGGCAGAGCTGCTGTGTTGCTGGCAAGCGGTGGGGGGGGGAGTCGTGAATGGGAGCTGACGTCACCGCTGACAGTTTCTCTATTTTAATCCTGACACCACACAGCTGACTGGCCAAACTCACAGGATTCCAGCTCCACTTTGCACGCAATGGGGTTAGAGAGCTCCAGTGGGGGGGCGAGCCCCAGCACAGACACGATGGGGAGAGAGAGAGAGCAGGGAATGGGGTTAGAGTAGAAAGCTCTAGTGGGGGAGCGAACCCCTGCACAGACACGATGGGGGAGAGAGAGCAGGGAATGGGGTTAGAGTAGAAAGCTCTAGTGGGGGAGCGAACCCCTGCACAGACACGATGAGAGAGAGAGCAGGGAATGGGGTTAGAGATATGATGTATGCTCTCCCCGACCTCAGACACTGTGTTGTTTCAGGGTAGCGACCCCCTTCGGCACGCCAGCCCTATTCCCTGCCCGGTCCTTCCCGCCACCGGCCTTCGAGTTGGTCGAGGAGATGGTGGAGCCGGTGACGATGGAAGCCGAACGCATCGCCAACCGCCCCAACTTCAACCGTCGTCCCCGAGGCTGGATCCCCATCATCCCCGAGTCTGCTGAGTTGTGAGGCAGCTTCCAGCGGGAGGGGTGGGGAGGGGCAATTACCGGGGTGTGTATCTGAGGAGGGGGGCGAAGTTTTGGTTAACGTTAACCACAATTCCCTTCCCCTCTCCCCGTCACATATTAACTATTCCCAGGCCCGGACGGCTCAATGATCTTCCAGCACAGAAGGAGGCCATTCGGCCCATCGTGCCTGTGCCAGCTCTTTGATTTGAAAGAGCCACCAACTAGTCCCACTCCCTCACTCTTACCCCAGAGCTTTGCACGTTTCGTTTTCAAGCACAGTTCCTCACCCGGCTGGGTACGTACGTTTAGGGATGGTTTCCGCGGGAATCCTGGCCGATCAGACCGTTGTGTGTTAATGCACGAGGCAGACAAGCGACAAAGTGAGACACGAACGAGAAGCAAATAAAGAGATACAGCAACAACCAGAGTCCTGATTGCCCTCAGAGCCAGGCGACAGCCAGCACCAAAACACTCACTGAGCATCACAGGAAACCAGTCGGGCTGCCAAAGGGAGTGTGACTGACAGCCACACGCGCACACACGTACACAGACACACACACACTACCTGTGACTTTTCCCAAACTCCAATCGGCTGTGGAGAGGGGAGAGGATCTTTCCCGCTTCCCGGCCCCCTGTGAACGCAGCCCCAGGGCAGGCGGTGAGTTCCGGCAGTGTTTGCGCAGCCGCCTTCCCAACCCTGACACCCTGTCCCGCAACAAGAAAGAGACTGGCACAAGCTGAATTAGTAAAGATGCGTCTCTTTATGTTCTAGACGTGTGGCTGGACAGATAGACCGACAGACAGACAATCCCTGCCTCGCTCCCTCGCTGGCTGACACCAGCCGCACCCAGCGACAGCTCACACCCACCCTCCCGTTCCCCCAGTGGGTCTGCAGGGAGACCGAGACGGGACGGGGCAGTGGGTGGGGGCTGGGAGAGGCAACAGTATAAAATAAGCCACGGGCACGTGACAAAAATGAATTTCACCTAATTAGATAGGGGGGGAGGCCGGGGGGGGGGGGGGAGGCCGGGGGGGGGGGGGGGGGGGGGGAGGCCGGGGGCGAGGGGGACCCTCAGAGTCAGACACTCCCCAGTTGGGAGCCCGGATTTTGACACATTTCATTAGCTTCCCAGCCTGTGGTTTGCCCACTCTGCCACCAGAGGGCACTGCGGGCAGCCACAGAGGTTGTGGGTGGGGGGTGGGTGGGGGGTGGGGGGGGTGGGTGACAATTTAGACGTGTCCAAACTTCAGACGTGTTCAGACGTGTGCAAACAATCTCTCATCCTCGAACCGCTCAGCCTGACATACCCGGGTTCCCCACGGATCTGCCAGCCGCGACCTCCCGGAAACACACATTCCTCACGGAAGCCGAGCGGCGATACGGGAACCACTGGAACCCCCAAATAAAAGCAAGACGGCGGGGGGGGGGGCACAGAGCGAGAGCGACACAAACCCTCTCTCCCCCCCCTCGCATCCCCCCCGTGACTGGTATAAAAGGGAAGGTGAGGCGTGCGGGGTGGGCTAGGCGTTGTTGGGCTTGTTCGTGTGAGCTCCCATGCGCTGGGGGTCCTGGGAGGGGTAGTGGATGGGGCCCGGGGCCCGGAGGAAAGGTGGAGGTGGCGGAGGCATAGAGTGGAAGACTGTGGGCCCGAACCCTGCGGAGAGAGAGAGAGAAAGAGCGTTACACACCAACAATCAGTCAGCGCTGCTGCACTGAGCCATCTCACACCCTGGGAACAGACAGGAAGCCCACGAAACAGTCACTGCACTTTACAGTATATTGCGTGAAGCGCTTTGAAACGTCTCGGTCCGACGGCGCACGGCTGCCGCTCGGGCACTTACCGGGTGGTGGAGGGGGTAACGAGATGTTCATCACCGTGGCCGGGGCGCTGGGCGGCAGGTTGAAGAAGTTGGGGGGAGTTTCCTCCTCCACTGAGACGGGGGGCGGCAGGACTATGAGGCAGAGAGTGAGAGAGAGTGAGTGTGAGAGAGAGTGTGAGAGAGAGTGTTGTGTGAGAGAGTGAGTGTGCGTGTGAGAGAGATAACTGTCAGAACACGTCGTTCTGGCCGTTACACAAACACGTGTGCAAATGCCCGTCAGTCAGTCTGTGTGTGTGACGGACGGCGCGTGTGTCCTGGAGTCGCGGTCTCTCGGAGCAGACCAGACCGGGACGGTTCCCGGTGAAGGGCAGACTCACCTCCTGGCAGCCCCGGCACCGGCTCCAGCTTCATCCCCGACTCCGGGCTCCCGTCCTTCTCCTTCCCCCGCGCGGCCTGTGACCTGCCAGCAACAGAGCGATACTTTGTCAGGTTACACGCACATACACATCCTGACGCCCCCCCACCCCCACCCCAACACACCCACTGACCCCCTCCACTTTCACCCGCACACTAACCCCCAACACACACACACACACTCAGCCCCCACATACACACAGACTCACCCTCCCACACATACACACATTCAACCACGGACACTCTCACACCCAACCCCACCGCCCACCCACACACTCTCCCTCCCTCTGCCCTGCCCGCACGCTCACCTCCCCCACTTGACGTTGAGCCGGCGGCCGTTGATGATGAGTTTGTTGAAGGATTTCTCAGCAGCGAGCTCTGCGGCCTGTCTACTGGCAAACTGTATAAAGGCACATTGCTGTCTCTGCACCACCGTGATCGACCGGACCTCCCCAAACTGGTAAAAGTGATTCCTGGGGAGAGACAGAGGGGAATCAGCAACACACCTGTGCACACACTGGCCCCTGATAGAAGCTGAAACCCTCCATTCCTCCTTCCTCGAGAACACCCTCCCTCCCTCCCTCACAGAGCAACTGCGATGATTCAAAGTCACTCAAGACTCCCACATTAACAGAGACAAACAAACTCACAAGACAGACAGACACACTGAAGCGCGAAACGGTGGGGCTGCAGTGGGCGGGGTGCCGGATAAGAGGGGGGAGGGGCTGGGAACCAGAAAGGGATGGGGTGGCGATGTGGGGCAGAAGGGGGACAGGGCTGCAGAATGGGAGGGGACACGGCTGAGAGCAAGGTGGGCGCGGATGTGGAGTGGGCAGGTCTGTGCGTGGAGCAAGAAGGCTGTGGGGCTGTGGAGTTGGTGGGGCCACTCACCGTAGCTCTGTCTCACAAATCTGCTCTCCGAGCCCCCCCACATACAGGGTGGTGATGCTCCTGTCCTCGGGGGGGTCCAGCCGGGGCATGGTGGCCGCTCGCTTCAGCAGCTTGTCAGCCACCGGGTCATTGATGCCGTAATAACGGTCCTTAATGTTCTGGTCAGCCAGAGGGTCGTCAGGGTCCGTGGGCTTCTCGTGTCTGAGCACAACAACAGAAGAATTTGCTGGACAAAAAGACAAGGTCCATCTAGTTCACCTCCCACCGTCCTGGCCGTCTCTTTCACATGTCGTGTCCCGAACCATATACTGTAGCTCCAGGTATTACTTCCTAACAGAAATCTATCTCACTTGCTTTTGAAAGAATCAATGTTCCATACGATTACTATTTGCTCAATGAACTAGCGTTTCCCCAGATTTGTATTGAATTTTTCCCCCTTCGACCGCAGGCAGCAAAACAACAACAAAATTACATGTATAGAACGCCTTTCACGTTGGAAGGACGTCCCAAGGCACTGAAAGAAACGATGGATCACAGGTTAACCCCAGCACGGGCTTGGAGTACCGCAAGGTTCCTGCCCACCGGGGGGTGGGGTGGGGGGAGCACTGTGGCTGTGTTTACCTGTAGGGACACTCCTCTCCTCTCTTGCACTCGCCTTTGACCCAGAAGGAGCAGATGTGGGGGCGGTTACGCTTGTAGTAAGGGGTGGTACGAGCCAGCTTCAGCAGCATGTCACTGGAGCTGGTGGCCTTGCCCAGCGCCCCCACTGGCCTCGTCCCATCAGAGCCCTGGATCTGCAGACAACAACCAGCTCAGCACAGGAACCACACAGGCAGAACAACACCTCCCTCCCCACATCACAGGCGGAAACAATAGCCACGCCCCCCTCACCCCACCACACAAACTACAGGCAGAACAACTCCCCCTCCCACACACACACACACACACACACAGAGTACAGACGAAAACACCCTTTCCTCTCCCCCCCACCTCACCAGCAGAACCAACAACCTCCTCACACACGGTGGCCTAGGGGAAGGAGGGGTGAGCAGGGACTGGCTGAGGTTTATACAAGCCGCCCGTCCGCATATGCTTTTAACTACTTGCGTTTCTTAAGGGAAGCTGTTTGAGAGAAGGTCCGAGGACCTTAGTCACAGTAAATCTGCTGCATCTTATCTCAGTGTCTGTGCCTCAGTGATGGGGAACCGCCAAGAGTAAATGAGAAGCCGTTTGTTCGTTCGTTCGCCTTTCTCCCATTCATTCCAATTTATCTGAAATTGGGAGACTTGTGTGTTGCCAGCCGATCCAGACTAGTCCAGGATTTGGGGCAATGGGTATGTCTTCACAAGCTTCTGATGCGATTGACGCTCCCATGTCTGGTGTATGAGGCAGGAAACTTACTGTCTTCACATCATTGCAAACCATTTCTGTAACCTATTTTACCCCCCACCCACCCCCTCTCACACACACACACACACACACACTAGTGCTCAGTAAGTTTTTTGTTGAGGTTGTAGTGCTGGGGCGTTCTCTCTCTCTCTATACTGATGGACGCCCTGAAGAACCGAGGCAACACTAAAGGACCATTGCAGGTCCACGACTGTTTGTGGGACACTGCTGTGTGCAATTGGCTAACGCATTTTGCCCACAAAATATACAGTCACTACACTTTACAGTATATTCTGTGAAGCACTTTGAGACGTCTCGAAGACATAAAGCGCTATATCAAATGCAAGGATTATTATTATTGCCCAATTTCCAATGAGAATTTGGAGTTTGGTGGCTTATTGCACTGCTTCTGTTGTGACTTATAGTTGTGATATTCCAGCGTATTAAACTATTGCTCTTAATTAGTGTGATTTAACCAATAAATGTAACTGAACCCATGTTTCTGAAGGCTTCTGATTCTTTACTATGTAATAGGCCCTTGAGGCGGTGGGGGATTTGCAAATAGCACATCGTGCTGGCCCTGAGCCATTGACCAATTCTGGTCACTATTACTAGACAGACCAGGACAGGGTGGTGTGGAGAAGATACAGTGAAGGACAGCTTGATTCAGAGCTGAAATGAGACATCTGGGTTACCAGGAGAAACTACAACAACTTGGATTTATATCGAACGCTTCACACAGGGTCGCGTCTCGGAGTGGCTGCAAAAGCTGGGCATGTTCACATGGCAAACAGCCATGAGAGAGGTGGGTGACGAGTTAACCCGGAGGTTTGTCCAATAGTGCAGCATCTTTCAGCACTCACTTGAGCAGCAGACAGGTTCCTTGGCCTGTTATATATTGTAAGTGAAAACAGGAGTTGCTGGGAACACTCGGCAGGTCAGGCAGCATCTATGGAGAAAAGAAAATGAGTCAACATTTCGGGTCCACAACTGAATTAGCCGTTCTGACGAAGGGTCGTGAACCCGAAACGTTGACTCCCTTTCCTTTCTCCGTAGACGCTGCCTCTGACCCGCTGAGTCTTCCCAGCGACTCCTGTTTTTGTTTTCAGATTGCCAACACCCGCGGTATTTTGTGCTTTGTCTATAATATTGTGAGCTTCAGTTTGAAGCGCCCGTGTGTTGGAAGGGACACCCCATGTGCTGAGTGTCTGCCTTCTGTGCAGAACATGTACACGTTTCGATGTAAATGCAACGACCCAAACCCTTGACCGCTCAGCACTTTGTGACGCCCTCCCGACCTCAATCAAAGGCACCACATACAAATGCAATTGACTGTTATAAGCCACTGCACGTGTGGTGGCTGCCCAGCGGCGGAGCTCGGGCGCTGCCTGGCGGACACTCCCGGTGTGACATGTAGAACAATTTGGCTGACAATCACACATGTTCCCACGTGTCCCTGTTGTGCGGACGGTTTTTGGGGACAAACAGGACCCAACCGCTTGTTTGGCCGCCAACATCTTTGACGGAAACAAAGAAAAATAAAAGGATGGTCTCAGCGCCGAAGTACTTGAAACCCGCACCTGAGCACTCGAGCTCTGCTGGGACTTGGTTGGTTGGTTGGTTGGTTGTGGGTGGGGGCGGAGTGGGGGGGAACTTCTTGTGCAGAACCAACAGCCACAGCTCAGGGGGTTCCGCCCGGAGCGCGGAGCGAGTGACGCCGCGGCTCTCACTGAGAGGGGCCACTTCCGCCCCGCAGTCGGGCCGGGGTTTCCGGGCGGCGCGGGGCATTGTGGGACCCGGGAAGATGGCCACCTCACTGGGGGCGAACACCTACAACAGACAGAACTGGGAGGACGCGGTGAGCGGCCCGGGGGGGCCCGGGGGGGGGGGAGAGGGGCCCCGGGGAGACCGAGAGGAGAGGGCCGGTGGGGGTCCCCGGGGAGGCGGTGCGGAGGGCCCCCCCCGGGTCCCGAGGCCTCCCACACACTCGAGGCCTGGACTCTCCCGCCCTCCCCACCGCACACCCCGTGTCTCCCCCCACTCCCCCCCACTCCCCCCACACTCCCGCCGCCGCTGAGCCACAGGGAGAGAGAGAGAGAGAGAGAGAGTCCCAGGAGAGGGAGTGTCGCTCTCAGCCTCCGGGTCCCGGGTTTCTGGGGCAGTGACTCGTGTTCTATTAATTACAGTTTTTCAGTCACAATCCTCCGGTGTTTGAAGCCGTTCTCACAGCCCCGAACGCCAATGTCGCTGTCGCTGTCGTTCTGGTGACACGCGGCGCGTTCCCGGAGCGGCGCCGGTTATCGTGTGGCGGAGACGACGTCTCGGCGCTGCGAAGCGGTTTTGGGGGATTTCCGATGCGCGTTCCGTCGGGTGAATGCCGCCGCCGCCGCCCCCCCCACCCCCCCACTCACCACTCCCCCACTCCCCACTCCCCACTCCCCACTCCCCCCGCCCCCACTCCCCACCCCCTCCCCCACTCCCCCACCCCCCGCTCCCCCACTCCCCCACTCACCACTCCCCACCCCCCACCCCCCCCCACCCCCACTCCCCACTCCCCCACCCCCCCCCCCCTCCCCCACTCACCTCCCCACCCCCCACTCCCCACCCCCCACTCCCACCCCCACTCCCCACTCCCACCCCCCACCACTCCCCACTCCCCACTCACCACTCCCCCACCCCCCCACTCCCCACTCCCCACTCCCACCCCCACTCCCCACTCCCCACTCCCCACTCCCTACCCCCCACTCCCCACTCCCCCACTCCCACTCCCCAACCCCCCACTCCCCCCCCCCCCCCCGCTCCCCCCCCCACTCCCCACCCCCCGCCCCCACTCCCCCACTCCCCAACCCCACTCCCCACTCCCCGCCCCGAGCGTTTCCAGCGGCAAAAAGGAAAAAAAAAAAATCGCACCCGCGCGGCGGCTTCCGTGTCAGGAGGACCTCCCAAAGCGCTGGACGGCTGGGAGTTGGGAGTGGGGGTGGAGAGTAAGGGGGGGGTGGGGGTAAGGGGGTGGGGTGGAGGTAAGGGGTGGGGTGGAGGGTAAGGGGTGGGTGGAGGGTAGGGGGTGGGGTGGGGGGTAAGGGGGTGAATGGCCAAAAGTACGGTCAAAGAGCTAAGTCTTGAGATGAACGGGAATGGGGAGAGGTTTCCCGGATGTGCTGCGATTGGCACTGAACCCATTGTTTCTGCGTTTGACTGTTTAGCGCTTCTCCTCGACCGCACCTCGGGTCTCGCTCCCACCTCTCTGCCTTCCCTCACCCCTACACCCCCCCCCCCCGCCTGCCCCCCCCAGGCTCGGGCCCCGATACCTGACTGTTCAGCGCTTTGGGACGTCCTCCCGACGTGAAAGGCGCTCTATACGTGTCATTTTGTTGTTGTTGTTGTTCACAGTGTTGCTGTGTTGTGGTCTGGCTAACGTACTCTTATCACTTTGTTTAGGACTTCCCGATCCTGTGCCAGACATGTCTGGGAGAAAACCCCTACATCCGCATGGTAAGTCCCTGACTTCCCGCTCACTGGGAATGGGTGGCATTTCAGACCTGAGAAACCTGCGCAAAGCCAATGAAGTGTGTGAAACGCACAGAAAGCAAACTCTCAATTTACTCCACAATTTTTGTCTGTAAATTCACGGTTTTTATTATTATTACTATTATTATTATAATTCTTGTGTGTAACTGGGTTGTTTGTTTGGTGTTTCAGACAAAGGAGAAATATGGAAAGGAATGCAAGGTAAGTCTTCCAGCGCCTTGGGACATCTTCCCGTCATGAAAGGCACTGTGTAAATGTAATTTGTTTGTTTGTTTCAGTTCACCCCCTGTTGCACACATCTCATCAGCATTGTATGGGTTTACTGCTTTACTGCACTCACAGTGGTGGTGTGGGGAGTGTGTGTAGGGGTGGGGGGTGTATTTGGGATGTAATGGGGTGTGATGATGGGTTGGATGACAAGTGCCCTGTGACCTCCCCCCTCCCCCCAGATCTGCTCGAGGCCCTTCACTGTATTCCGCTGGTGCCCAGGGGCTCGGATGCGCTTTAAGAAAACGGAGGTTTGTCAGACCTGCAGCAAACTGAAGAACGTGTGTCAGACCTGCCTCCTGGACCTGGAATATGGTGAGAACCCAGGGCATTCCGGGGGGTAGGGAGATTCGCTCTGCGGGTGATTGATTGATCCTGCTCCGCCTCTGTTCCACCATCGGTGACCGCGCTTTCAGCCACTATGCTTCCAACTCTGGAACACTCTCCCTCTAACCCTCCGCCTCGCCCCCTTCTTCCCCATCTTCAGGTCATGCCTGAAGACCTTCCTCTTCGATTGTGCCTACAGTCCCTTCCCCCCGGCTTGGCATCGTGCTACATCATTGTCAAGCGCTCTGGGATGCCACCCTGGGTGAAGGGCACTGTAAATGCAAGTTGTTGTTGTTGCCTGTGTTCTGTGATTGATTGACCTGCCTGTCCTCAGGGTTGCCGATCCAGGTGCGAGACGCTGGGATGTCACTGAAGGACGATATGCCTAAGTCTGACGTGAACAAGGAATATTACACCCAGAACATGGAGCGCGAGGTAACCCTCAACAATCTGCCCTTTCCCACCTATAGAGTGGAGGGTTATTGATTCCACCTGTACTGTGTGTGTGTGTGTGTATATATATATATTGCTTCTGCCTGTGGTGTGTGTGTGTTTCCACCTGTACTGTCTGTGTCAGAGTATTGTTTCCGCCTGTGCTGTTAGGTGGTTTTTCGCATGCGTGTCTGTGGGGGGAGAGGGTGTTCCGCTTGTAGTGACTGGTAAATGGGGACACAGTGACCGGGACTGGTTAATGGGGACACAGTGACCGGGACTGGTTAGCGCAGTGACACACTGGGGGACGGTTTCAAACTTGGGGAACACGTTGACGGCACAGTGTTCCGGGACCTTCTAGTCTTCGCCTCCACACAGCGTGAGCAGGACCCGGGAGTAGTCGCCCGAGCAGTCTCCCTGGGGGACAAAAGACACCGATTAAACCCGGTCTCCGAATTCCCACCCAAAGAACGTTCCGGAACTGCGTGGGCAGTGACGAGACTCACCTCGATGCAGGCGTGGAGCGAGATGTCAAACATGTCCTTAAACTCCTTGCGGATGTTCAGTAAATCAATCTCGCTTCGGGACACCATAATCCGGATAAGGGTCTTGTCATCCGTCCCAGCGCCCTAATAACAAACAATATCAGTAATAATTAATAATAATCAATTAATCAATCAGTAATGATCAATTATCAAGCGATATCAATGGCAAGCTGCGTGGGTTTAGCTGGTTAGACTCCAGCAGATACCCCAACGCACATTCTGGACTCCCTCCCAAGCCTTGGCTTTTGCCAACTTGCGCCTCATACTATCTGGAATTAGGTAAGCAGGATGCATCCCTCCAGGGAGAGAGAGGGAGAGAGAGAGCTTCCCATTCCAACAACCATTCCATGTCAGCGCCTTGGGACGTCCTCCTGACGTGAAAGGCGCTTTATAAATGGAATCTTGTTGTTGTTGTTGTTGTTGTAGATGGGATGCCTGGAATTCTCAGCTTGGGTTTGGAGACCCTCGAGCAACGGTGATGGGTTTCCGCACATGTCAGACACCCGGCTGACCCCCCAAAAATCAGTTAACAATAATCATTTCCTCTTGAGTGGTTTGGTTAATTTTGGGGGGAAAAAGAATCCCTGGACCGGCTCCTCCGCCCCGAAGGGACACTCTAACACTGCCCCCACTGGCTGAGAGGTGAACTGAGCCTGAATCCACACAGGCTGAGAAATTACCTTCATTGACTTGTACAAGCGATCAGCAAAGAACACTGGTTTATTCTTAATACAACGGACTAGAGAGAGAGAGAGAGAGAGAGAGAGGTCAGCACGTTAATCCCTGCGTTGATCTTACACCCAAGTGTAGTGACTGTGTATTTGTGGGGAATGTTGACCAGGACACCAGGAGAGAGTAACTCCTTCCTCCTTACCAAGTGTCAGGAGATCATGGACATGCAGACGTGGTTTTAAGTCTTGTTGGCGCCCGTCATAGTATGTCGCTGCCCCCCACTCCCACTCCCCGTGCCCCTCCCCACCCCCCCACCCACAGTGACTCACCGATGGCGTACAGAGAGTTCCTCAGGTCCCCGGAGATGTCGTTCCTGATGGTTTGCTCGATGTCGCGGTTGGTTAGTTTAATGTAATCCTGAAACACTGAACGTGGGAAAGAGTCAGTCACTGAGGCAATCGCGACACCCCACTCCTACCCCCATCACCGACCAGACAGGGGCTACAATGAGAGACTGACCCATCTACCCGCACGTACCTCCCCCTTCCCCCACACGTATCTTGTCATTCCCCTCCCACCCCCACATACACACACATACCTCCCCATCTCCCACTCCCCCCCAACCACACACACACACACACGTACCTCTCTTGAGGTGGGGGAAGCTCCTGGTGCACAGAACACTGATAAACTTTGATTCCATTGAATCGGAGTCGTCATCACCAGCTCCAGACAGCACCTGAGAGAGGGGAAAGAGATGGTGAGAGAGAGAGACATAGAGAGAGAGAGACATAGAGAGAGAGAGAGAGAGAGAGACACAGAGATGTCAGCTCAGTGTCAGCAGCTTCACTGCTCTCAGTATCACACCACATCAGCCCACTCGCTCCCCCTGGAGATTCCCGCTTCCCTCGTTCCGTCTTCCCGCTCTCAGTGTGGTTCCATTACCTTTGCGTCCTCCATGGCTCGGGTCAGGTCAGCGTCCCCCTCCTCACGGTTCCCCTGAGGCAAGAGGCACAGTGAGAAACTATCGCCGGGGCGCGGGGGTCCGAGGGCAAAGCTGGCGGGGGGTGATTGTGTGGGATGGGGGGGAATCAACGTCGCTGGGGGCGTGGGGGGGCGCGGACATGGTGGCCTGGGGGTGGCTAAGTGGTAACCACACACTGTGGTGGGAGGGGAGGTGGGGGGCTGTACCTGCACCAGGGAGACCAAGAGCCGCTGGAAGTGACCGGACGTGTCGGACTCGATGTCCTCCTCCAGGCTTCGGTGATAGCCTGCGGGGGAGAGAGAGAGAGAGAGAGAGGGGGCTGTGTCACTCTAACACCTCTCGCTCTCACTGGTAAAGCCTCCGATCAGCCCCGGCCACTCACCCTCTGTATACGCCTCTCTGAGCCGGTTTATCTCCGTGTTGGTTTTCGTGGTGAGGATTTCGATCAACGCCCGCTCGTCAGTGCCCACACCCTGCACAACAACAACAACGTTCATTTATATAGGCCCCCCCCCCACGCAGGGTAGGGGCTCACAGCATTTGAAACACACACACACTGCCGGTAGCTGCCCCACCCCAGCCTCGCCTTGGAGTTGAGGTACAGATCAGCCATGATCTAATAGAATAGCGTAACAGGCTCGGGGGCTGAATGGCCTCCTCCTGTGCCTATGTTCCTATCCCTGACCCCCCCCCACCACCCCCGCCGCGTGTCTCTCACCTCGATGGCTTTACGCAGTTGCTTGGCGTCAAACTGCTCTGTGGCATCATCAGTGCCAGGATCACTCGCCCTAAGTTTCCGCCCAACTCAGATTTCAGGTCCGCCATCAGGTCCTACAGCAGACAGACATCACGTCAACAACATTACCCCAATCCCACCTCCTGTCCTGACTGCTGGGTAAACAGAGGCACTTGTGTGTGTGTGTGTGTGTGTGCGCGCGTGTGCACATGTGTGTATGTGTGTGTGGAGTAAGGAAACTTGCCTAAGGTTTCACACTGTCCCGCCCGGGAATCAAACCCGGGGCCTCTAACTACTGAGCTACAGGATGTCACAGAGGGGAACGGAAGGTTCCCCCGGGGAGGGGAGGCTGTGTGGGGTGTACGTGCTGTCGAGTTTATGTGACTTGTTATTGAGAGCCTTAGTGACTTACCCGGCCGAGCTGGGACTTGAACTGCTGCCTGAGCTGCTGCCGCTGGGCATTGCTCCTCCGCGTCACAATGTCAATAATGGTGTCTTCATCTGTGCCTGAAACAGTGGCTGGGACCAGTGGGAGGCCCCGAGAGAGTCAGAGTGACAGCAGAGTGACCGCTTCTCCGCTCCCACCATTCCCCCCCATATCTTTTATCTCCCCCCCAACCCCCACTGCTGCCCACTCACCGAACCCCTTCATGGCTTTGCGAAGAGCCTTGACGTCCACTTCAGGCTGGAAACCCACAGCGTCTCGTACCGTCCCCTTCATCTGTCAGACAGACGAAGAGATGTCGCTGAACCGTAAGCTGGTTTTCAATGTGTCAAACGGCGGGGGGCGCATTCAGGGCAGCGGAGGTATGGTGGGTGGTGGGGGGGGGCTCAGGGACACACACGCTCACACACACACACCTACCTGCACTTGCATGGAGGCGCTGAGCTCCCATGTCTGATAGGCGAACTGTGCTGCTTCCGGGAAGAACTCACCAGCGACACTGCAACATGCAGAACGTGTGTCAGCCAGAGTGAGCCCCCCCCACCCCCCCCCACATACACTGCACGCCCCCACCCCCCGACAAACACACACTGCCCCCCCCACCCCGACAAACACACACACACACACACAGCCCCCCCAGACTCACTTGTCATCGCCCCCGCACAGCCTGAGAAGGGCTCTCTTGTACACACCGGAGGTGTCACCCTGAAAGCAGAGGAGAGACGGTGGCTGTGATGTGAGCGTGGGGATAATTAGCACAGCACACGCACCGTGCTGCCGCTCGGCTGGTGCTCACTCACCCGGATGGTCTGGTACAGAGACTCCTCGTACTTGTTGCGAAATTCCTCCCGGATATCCAGCATGTCCAGCTCACTCCGCGACACCATGATACGGATCAGCGTGTTGTCACAGGTCCCCATTCCCTGAGGAGACAGACAGACACACACACACATACCCACACACAGTGACAGACAGACACACACACACACACACACACAGTGACAGACACACACACACACACACACACACACAGAGTCACAGCGGAAACAATCGGAGATTTGAACAAAACCCCAAACAAACTGCTGTACCCACAACCTCCCGATCCCGAGAGGACACTCGCAGCGACTGAGCCAGGCTGAGGGCGAGACTGACAGCAAATGTATTAAAGCATTAAACCCCTTAACCCCCCCCCCATCCCCACCCCCACATCTGCACCCCCCCCCCCCCCACCTGCACCCCCATCCCACGCACCTGCATCGCTTTGTTCAGTCTTTTGGCAAAATATTCCGGAGTGTTCCGTACACACCTCACTGTGGAAAGAGAATCAGACGGAACGTAAGTTGGAGCCCGGGAGGGGGGGGCGGGGGGTTGGACCTGGAGTGGGGACGGGGAATGGGGTTATACGTACCCACCGCCAGCATCAGCTTCTCGAAGTCCCCGGACAGCTCCCCACACAGACTCTCCTCAATGTCCTTCCCAGCAATCTGACTGTACTCATCAAACACTGAGACAGAGAGCAGAGACATTTCAGTGTCACACACACTCACACTTATACACACACACACACACACACAGTGACAGACACACACACTAACACACACACACACACTGTGACAGACGCACACACACACACTGTGACAGACACACACACACACTGTGACAGACACACACACACTAACACACACACACACACTGTGACAGACACACAAACACACACACACACAGTGATACACACAGTGATAGACTCATCCCAAACATTGATGGATAGATACAAACTCATAAACTCTCACAGACAGACTTGCACACATTAACACACATCCACTCACACACACTCACACAATCACATACAGACAGTGACACACACACACACAGATGGGGGGGTGGGGGCGGGGGGTGAGGGTGAGGTTGTACCGAGCTGGAGGTGCTGTTTACTGCGGTTGCCAAGGATGGTGATGAAGGTGCTCTCCTCTGTGCCCCACTGCTCCTCCCCCGCCTCGAACAGCTCCTACAATCATAGTGAGACGTCAGCCTGGCCTGTCCCCCCCCCCCACCCCCACCCCCACCCTCACACTCACATGCACACTCACACTCACACACCTTTGCATCTTCTGCCACCTGGTGCTCACTGACCACATCGTCTTCCTCACGGGTCCCTGTGGACAAGACACAGGGTCAGCGCCACGCAAACAGGTCCCCCATTTCCCCTTCCCACCTCCTGCCCACCACCGCCCATTCCCACCCCACAACCACCCATTCCCCACCCCCACAACCACCCATTCCCCACCCCCACCCATTCCCCACCCCACCGCCCATTCCCCACCGCCCACCACTGCCCATTCCCCACCCCCACCGCCCACCACTGCCCATTCCCCACCCCCACCGCCCACCACTGCCCACTCCCCACCCCCACCACTTCCCGCTCCTCACCTGAAGCAGAACAACACACATCTTCTTGAAATGTTGCGCGGTATCAGCAACAATGTCAGCCTCCAGATCCGACTCATATACTGTCAACGAGAGAGAGAGACAGAGAAAGGGGGAGAGACACACACACATACACACACACACAGAGGGAGAGTGAAACACAGACAGACAGACAGACAGACAGAGACACAGAGAGACAGAGTTACAGCATTTCATCACATGGGAATCTCTCAGAAGAGTTTGACGGTGAAATGTAGAGACTGTGCATTTTGTGGTCAAACAGCGCAGTAGTCCTGCACACAGCGAGGGGTCAGACAGACAGACAGACAGACAGGTGTGTGGTGATTGCCCACAGACGGTTGGCCAGTCACTGGGAGATGTTGTTGGTTCTTTCACCGCGGTGCCCACGCTACATGCTACGCGACCGCTGTCGAGCGCGGAGAAGCTCACCCTCGTTGTAGGCGGAGACCAGCTGGTGTATTTGGCTGTTGGTCCTGGATGCCAGGATCTCAATCAGGCACTTCTCATCCGTCCCCATCCCCTGTCACACAGCGAGAGAGAGGGAGTGAGGGAGGGAGAGAGGGAGGGAGAGAGGGAGGGAGTGAGAGAGGGAGAGGTCAGGCCAGGGTGGGGAATGCAGACACATTGCCTCAGTCAGTAACGGTGTGGGGTGAGGGGGCTGTTAAGAGGTGTCTCGAGGTTAAGGGGGAGGGGGGAAGGGGGGAAACTTACCTCAATGGCGTCTCTCAGCTCTTTGGCGTCGTACACGGCCGGCGGCTTCATCAGCCCCACGATCAGCCGCTCGAACTTCCCCGTCAGCTCGTACTTCAGGTCATCAATCAGGTCCTGTCAGTGAGGGACACACCGTCACCCAGTGCTGGGCAGAGGGTAACATAACATGTAGGAGCAGGAGGAGGCCATTCGGCCCTCCGAGCTTCTGCCCCGCCATTCAATCGTGGCTGATCTTCTAATCTAACTCCAGCTAATAACCTGACCCTGCCTTACCCCCATATCGACCCCCCTCTCCCATATCACCCCCCCCCCCAACGCCTTATCCCCATATCCCTTAATCCCTTTTGCAATAAGAAATCTATGTATCTCAGTCTTGAATATGTTCAAGGACTGAGCGTCAACAGCCCTTTGGGGTAGTGAGTTCCATACATTCACTGCCCTTTGAGTGAAGAAGTTCTTCCTCAACTCAGTGTGAAAGGGCTGTCTCTGATTTTAAGGTTGTGACCCCTGGTTTTAGTTTCTCTGACCGGGGGAAACAATCTCCCACTATCTACTCTATGCCCTTTGATGATCTTATAGGTTTCTATAAGATCCCCTCCAATTGTTCTATATTCCGGAGCTTAGCTCTGCCCGGCATCACCAACTACAGCTCGGCACCACAAACCCAACCACCCCCCCCCCCCCCAAGCCGTGCCCTGTCACCATGAAGTGACTGTCGGTGTAGAGACCGCAGGCGGCACCCAGTGATGGCTTACCCTCCCGAAGAGCGTCTTGTAGCTGATGAGGATCTTCTGGCGTTGGTTGTTGGACCTGGATGTCAACAGCTCCAAGATGGCCTCCTTGTCACTGCCTGTTGGGAATGGCAGCAACAACAACTTGTATTTATACAGCGCCCCCTCACATAGGGTAGCGTCCTAGAGATCTTAAGCGATTAATTAACGGACAGCGATTAACTATCGTTTAGCAGCCAGTTACGATGTGCTTAAGGCTCAGAGCGGGCGGGGGAAGTTGGTGGATTTCCGTGCTCACACCCGCCATTCACAGGGCCATTCCTCACCAAATCCTTTCATCGCTTGATACAAATTCTCCGCATCCTGATTGGCGTCAAAATTCGGGAACGCTTTAATGGAACCTCTGTATCCAGGCCTTGCTCCCTGTGAGAGGATTTACACACAGTTACAGACTCCAGGATCCCGGGAATCCAGAGCTCTCTAACCCCATTCCCTGCTCTCTTTCTCTCTCTTCCCCATCGTGTCGGTGCTGGGGCTCGCTCCCCCACTGGAGCTCTCTACTCTAACCCCATTACCTGGTCTCTCTCTCTCTCCCCATCGTGTCTGTGCTGGGGCTCGCTCCCCCACTGGAGCTCTCTACTCTAACCCCATCCCCTGCTCTCTCTCTCTCCCCATCGTGTCTGTGCTGGGGCTCGCGCCCCCACTGGAGCTCTCTACTCTAACCCCATTCCCTGGTCTCTCTCTCTCTCCCCATCGTGTCTGTGCTGGGGCTCGCGCCCCCACTGGAGCTCTCTACTCTAACCCCATTCCCTTCATCCATTTAAGGAGAGGTTAAAATTCCAGTATTCCTAAAAACTTTCCATTGCTGTGTGAGGAGCCGGAAAAGATGGGCTCGGACGCTAATCACAACACAAGGTTACACACTGCAGCACGGGCCAGGCAGATTGGTGCAGTGGGTGGGTCTGAGACAGAGAGAAAGCTCTCCCCCCTCCCCAGCACCTGTCAGATCTTCTTACTGACATTCCTTATGGGAAGCTGTGTGTAATCCAGGCTCTCCCCCCGCACACTGATTCCCGGCAGCTGCTGCCTGAGGTTATAAATAGCCTCTCACCGGGCCCACATACCCTTATATATAACAGCCGCCAGCGGTGAGGGGGGAGGCTGGGGTCTTAAACGGCCGTAACACCTCATCCGTGTTATTAGCTACCCCTCCCTCAGCCACGCCAACCCCCCCACACACACACACACACACACACCCCACACAGATGCACATACACACACACAGACACCCAGACACACATAGACAGACACACACACACAGACACACTACTATGGTACCCTCCCCCTCCCCACCATGAGTCAGCTCCGCCAGCAGTGACAATACACAGACGAGCTGGGTTTCGAACAGTATAAACTGAGCCATATTAGGTTGGGTTGAAGGGATTTACACACCCCGAAACCTAAACACAGTCCTGATCCAAACACTCTGCAAGTCATCTCCATGTTATGCACAGTCAGGCTGTTGGGGGGTGGGGGGAAGAGGGGGAGATACTGCTCACCCTTGTGTGGTGGTGGTGGTCGATGGGGGAGTAGCCCATTGAGGAGCGAGCGAGGTGGGGGGGGCAGCAGACCAGCCTGGCAAGAGTCAGTCATCTGCTGCCCAGAAATTGTGGCTTCCACAACCCCACACCCACCACTCCCCACCCTCCAATTTGTGATCCAGGCTGCACTCGGGGTGGGGGTGGCGGTGGGGAGAGTAGGCAGATTGTGTCAGCAAATTCTAGAAGGAATGCGGCAGCAAGCGGGGAGGAAAGGGAGAGAGCGCTTTTGGACGTCCTCTTGAGATGGTAAGCGCTATACAGATGTAATTGGTTGTTGAGTGATGCCTGGGGGGAGTGGGCAATGGGGGAGGGAGGGTGGGGGGGTCGCTGGCCTTTCACACCAGGGCCGCTCTCACACTCTCTGGTCGCTTACCTTGCCTTTGGCCGACATCTTTCACCGGAATGGAGAAGGGATTGTACTGTGAGTGGGAACAATCTGCCGGAAAAGTAAAATAAAGCGTTTGAATTATTTACGCAGCTTCATAAAGGCTGTGAGTGAGAACGCCTGGGGTGGGGGCGGTGGGGGGGGGAGATCACCAGAGCAATGCCTGGGCTCACATCACACTGATATTCCCACTGCTCATTAAACGGTACTTTATCCTCAATATCTAATTTCGCCCCCACCCCCGCCAGCCAGGGGCAGGTTATAGCACAAGGGTCTGGTGTATCTCAACCCAGAATGTCATCGTTAACAGGAATCGGATTAGTGACTGACAAACCATATCAAAGATACACAGACAGCATGTTGCTGGGATTAGAGTTGAGAGCTCCAGTGGGGGAAGCAAACAACAATAACAACAACAAAATGACGCGTATAGAGCGCCTTTCACGCGGGAGGACTCCCGAGGCGCTGAACAGTCAGTGTTTCAGACCCGAGATGGGGGGTCGGGATTGGGAAAGCTGGAGGGTGATCTAAGGCACGGTTGAAGAGGAGGTCTTGAGATGGGTCTAGAAGGAGGCAAGGGAGGGGGCGGGTTGGAGGGACTGTGGGGTGAAGTTCCAGAGGGTGATGGCAGAGTAGCTGGACACCCTGGGGAGAGCGCAGGTAATGGGATTAGAGTAGAGCGCTCCAGTGGCGGAGCGAGCACCAGCAAGCAGTGTCTTTAACACTGAGACATCGCTAAGCGCTCCACAGGGAATCACTGTCAATTGTTAGTGACTGTTAGTGACTGTGTACATGTGTGTGCTCGTGCGTGCGTATATGTGTGTGTGTGTGTGTGTGTGTGGCGCGCGCGTTTATTTGTGTGTGTGTGCGTGCGTGTGTTAAGCAGATTTGGCAGCCAATTTGCCACAAGGTCAGAGTGAATTATTGATGAATCTGTGGGTTTGTCGGCCTGGACACCGGGCGGGTGAGAGAGAGAGAGAGACTCCCTTCTCTTTTCCAGTCACAAAGCAAGATCTTTAACATCCGCCTCGAGAGGGAGACTGACATCTCCTGTGCATTTCATTATAACCCAACGTGCAGCAGTTGCTAAACTGCAGCATCCAACGGGGCTGTTCCTGCGCCAATGCAGCGCCAATGCAGCACCAATGCAGGTGGGATGCAGAATGAAATGCGGCAATGATGATCGATCGATCGCATTATCTGCCCGGCTGTCAATAGGATGATGGAGGGGGTGTTTAAGACAATTCGCTGCGTTTTCAGCAAACCTCACAGCAGTGAGGCGACACAGCTTAGTAACTAACAGTCACTACACTTGGCAACATTGACTCTGGGCTCAGTCAAGGCGGGGCAGGGAGGGAGACAGAACAACTTGTATTGATACCTTCAACCTTCTCGCAAGACAGTGTTTTGAATCGCAGGCTCCCGCACCCGACTGCTATTGAAATTCCCCCTCTCCACCCCCACACCACTACCCCACAGGCAAATCCCAGACATCACCCACCCACACAACAACAGGTTCTCAGTGTGGTGGGTGGGTGGGGGGGAGGTAGAATAGGGATAAAGGTACCCAGAGAATCCTGCCCCTCCCCACAAAATATACAGTCACTACACTTTACAGTATATCCTGGAAGCCTTTGAGACTCTCGAGGACTATAAGGCGCTTTCAAATGAAGGATTATTATTATTATTGTTGCTCACATAAGCCCACATTGCTCAGGGCTTCAGTGTGGGGTGATGGTGGGGGGGTAGAGGCAATAAAGGGTCAGACAGCATCTCCCCCCCCCACCCCACACCGCCCACACCGAGGGGAGAGAGTGAATATCGCAAACTCAGCCTTTTTTAAGGAAAAAAACTTTACAATTACAAAAAAAAGTTTTTTGTCGTTGTATTGACAGAAAAAAAACGTTTTTTTGAATCGGGTTTTTACATTTGTCTTTTACAAAATCGTTTTTTTTCGCCGCCTTCACAAAATGTGAGGATTGATACGTCAGGTCAGAGAACTTGGAATAAATCAAATTCCAAAGCAGCTTCGAAACCCCACAAAAAAAAAACACTTCGGACAGACACACAGATACACACAGACAGACAGACA